CCCCAAAACCCCAAAACCCCAAAACCCCGTCTTCCCAAATAAGATGAAGATTTAATGAAATTAAGAATTTAGTCATAATTTATTGGATATATTGTAACGAGTATTTATTAATATCTCATCAACTTTTCATTGTCAAAAAATTAAATCAGTATTCATATCTAAGTAGTGGTAATTTTAAGTGGTCTAGTTTTATCGGAGACATTGATATTACTCGCCTAAAATATATTATCAATATGCAATAATAAGGCTTACTCCTGAACGATATTAACTGGATTGGCAAATTTATACGATTAGCGAAGTCTTTCATTTTATTTGGTGCCATCATTTGATTCTCTTCTATTGCTTTCTCTGAATCCATCACTAATTGTGAAGTCAGCTGAATTGTCATGCATCTAATTCAAATTGCTGACTTGCTAAATTCCATCCTGAGTGTCATTGATATCTGTACTTTGATATCCAAATGATAGTTTATTGTTCATTCCTGAATCGTTTATAGTTTTAGAATGATTCTTTACCTTTTTAGAATTCTTAATAAATCTCTAAAGTAAAAAATTAGAAAAGATAATATAATTACATTAAGTTGGAAATCTAGGAGTTATTAGTTAGCACTGATTAATTAAAATCTTGCACTTGCATTGATCAGGGAAAGCTTTCCAAGTCTATTCAATTCATCATCGTCAGATATTAATCTGTCGCTTGATTGATTCAGACACTTAGCTTATGAGGGTCCAATAGCTGCTGCGAGCTAATTCTTGCTTTGAAATTCAGAATTCTTTTAGTTTGACTTTATGGTAAGCCCAGAATGATTATTAAGCATCCTGTTCATAAAGTTTTTATCATTTTCAAGTTAGTTATTACTTTTTTTAATTTTCTAAGTCTATTATTTGGGTCCAGTTTCCATTCTGCTATCAAATGTCTTATTCTAAAGGTTAAATTGGTTTTTCTTCTAGGGAAGTATTGAGTGTGATCCTTTAATTTATTCATCTAATTGTTGCTTTTGATACTTTCAGTTTTACTCGTTGTTTTTCTCCTGCTAAACTAATTTTTGTATATTTATCATATTGTGTCTACGGGAAGAGTTCATTTTCTAATTTATAAATTCGGCTTGAGATAGATTTGCAGTCTAGTTATCAATATTCATTAGATTTTTTTGGCTTGGAAGCTTCTTGAAAAATTTAGATAGAGAATTGATGACAGTCCTTTCAGTAGATAAATTTTAAGGCTTCATTCTGCTGAGACTTTCGTTAGCATGCTAAATTAATATTAGGAATTAAGAAATCAATACATCAGAGGAAAACATAATTTCCATAAGGGTATCTTCATCAAACTCATTTTGCTTTAAATCCATAGATCTATCTGAAGTGGACAACAAATGATTGCTTGGCTGCGCTAGACCATCTCTCTTTAAACCTTCTTTATGCACCTTTGCTCTCTGATATTCATTTTCAATAATCAAATCTCTGTAAAATCACTTAAAATTTGGGAAGTTTACCTATCAAATGAAGCCTTGTGATCATTTATTTTCATCTACAAGGACATATTATGTTTGTTATTTTCATTTAAATGCAGGGGTTTAATACTATCATTTGATTTATTTTACTATTATTTTTAGGGCTATTTTAGCTTAATTAATTTATCTTTATGTGCATTAGCCTTTGTATTCTAGTTTAAAATTTATTAGTTTTATTGTTCTTGATAATTAAAATAGTCATTTTCTCTGATGTCTTAGGTTATTCTTCGAAGATATTTTGATTGTTCATTCCTATTTTTGCTCTGAAACTTTTTTAGAAGCTAATGCTTTTATGTTATGCTGCTGTTATCAGCCTCTATATGAGATCTATTAGTGTACTTTATAATGTTTTGAATATACTCCTAATGCTAATTCTTATAAATTGGATTGCCCTTTGATGTCTTATTAGATGTTGAGGAAACATTAGAAATGTTAAGCTTATTATTGTTTGGGTGATATGTAGTATCTACAATAGAATTAGGTTTTTATCCGATTGGAAAACTAAGCTTTAAGTTTTTATTATTCTAAGTAGTTTGAGGATAAATCATTCTTTGATGCTCCTCATTGCTCTTTATTTTATTTTTAAGAGATTCTTTGTTATTTAGAGCTCTAAGTCATCCTTGACTAGCTTTATGATTCGATCTGCTTGATCCACTTTATTATCTGCAAGGACTCACATTTTTATGCTAAGCAAACTAGGTTTACTCTTGGTTATGAAAATTACAGTCATATTGTTCTAGATTTTGATTCCATGTCGTTGGATCCATCGCCATACTCTCACTAAAGCTGTTTTTTATCTAATGCAAATTCCTAGTAAATTACTATCTCCCAACCTTATGGCTTTCCTCATTCGTCCCATTATTGTTTAAGAAGTGATTTTGATGATGATGAATTATAGTTGTTGGCTACTTTAGATAGCTGGTGCTATTCCTTGCTGCATTATTGCTGCTGCTCATTATTACTACATTGTTACTAACATTGAAAACATTTTAATTATTGACGATTTAAGGCTGCCTCTGATCATCAGTCTTGGGAGAAGTATCTCTGTTCAGGCGAGGATTCTGATTCTAAAAGTGATTAATGAGATTTGGATTTCTCTGGGAATATTGATATTTAACCGAACTCATTTTACGAAATATATATTTTCAATTAAATCAGTCTATTCTATATTCTTGGGGTTTTGGGGTTTTGGGGAATTGTACAGCCTGACGAAAAATTAGATTTTAT